CCATGCTGATATTTGTAGAATGCTGATTACTTTCTTTTGGTTTTTAGTTCTGAAATAATCAGAACCCTGTTTGGTGTGTTTCTTTACTTATATGGGAACAGCAGTATGATTCTCATTGGAACTCAGAAACCTAAATTGGGGCAGCAGATACCCCTTGGTTAATCTGCCTGTATAACAGTTATTCTTGGATTTATTTATTTTCCACTATGGTAATGAGGTGAGCTTAGTCATTATATTACACTTAGCTGGAATCTCTGTACTATACTTTTTTAGATGGTCATCTAAATTACAGTCTTGAGCTGTTTCTTTGCTTTTCAGAAAACTAGGATGATTGATTAAATGAACTCTTTGAAGATAAGGTATATGAATACATGACAGTGATTTCGAGGATCAAGTGGCCTGTGGGATCAGTCTCATTATTCTAAAACTGTGCTCCCCCAACAGAGTTTCTAAAAACTGGGCAGTAAGTAAAAGCTTATTGTAAGCTTGTCTTTGAATCACTGTATCTGAAATCAATGTTCTTTTATCAATGGCTTAGCTAAAGTCAACTATTTTCATAACTGTAAGTGTATCTCTGCTTATAAGCTTAAAGGAAATTTAAGTAGAAGACTTTGTTGAAGAGTGATAAGAATTATGTCTTTAGCCATTATGAAGCACTGTACATTTCTGCCATTCAAAAAAGTGAAATTATAAGCAACACAATAGAATTGCAGAAGTAGTGACATTTTTAAGACGTCGTGCTAGAAAGATACTTAGAAAAATGTCAAAATATAAAACATCTTTGAGTAATTGGATCAATAATGTAGTCTGGGATTCTACCACTTCGCTGCTTCATGTCTACATCATGTTGGTGGCCCTTCATGAATTCACATAGCCACTCACCTTTTTCTTCTCCTTGAGAGTCTTTCACCTCTTGAGGCCCTGTGAAAGAAGGGGTTTGTTAAAGGTTATTATATGAAATTTATCATGTGAAAAGATAGAGGATATTTTAGTTCAATTGGTGTATTTAGTAGGTTATAAACTTTAATTTTAAGCATGCTAGGTCTGTACTATGCAGTGCTATCTAGTACAGTAGTCACTAGCCACATCTGGCTCTTGAGCACTTGAAATACAGCTTGTTTGAATTGAGGTGTGCTGTCAGTGTGAAATATGCACGGTGTATTTTAAATAGTCCAAAAAGTAAAATTTTTTACTTGGTGCAAAAGAAAGAAATATTTTTAAAATACTGATTATATGTGATATAATTTTGGATATATAATATTAAATAAGATATTAAGATTAATTTTAACCTCTTTTTACTTTTTTAGATATTTTACTAGAAAATTTGAAATTATGACTCACCTTACATTTTTATTGCACAGTGCTGTCTGTACAAGAGTCAGTACACTAATAAATCAAGTAATATATAATCTATTCGTACATGCCTAAATCAACAATGAGTGGATTTGTAAAGTGGGATGAAAATATATTTATTCACTTTTATTTTTGTCTTGTATTGGCTTAAAAAAATAGTACCAGTAGTATCAAAATCTTTCATGATTCTATGTAGCATAGAACACTGGTGGTGGATGTGCGTAAAACACTGGTGGTGGATGTGTGTAAAACACTGGTGCAAAGTTTTAAGCCAACTGCTAAATGAGGGATACAGACAGTGTGAATACAATGGGCATTCCAGGGACAGAGAGGTTGCTGGTACTAGAAATCTATCACAGAGACATTTGGGACTTGTATTGCCTAGACATTGGACGATGAATATGATTCAAGCGGGCAAAAAACATAACAACTCTTTAATAAAGCTCACATAGGTAATGGACTGAATATGCTTAGTAGACCATTAACTGGCGGAAATGATTTGAATCAAGGATTTCAGTGTGGAAATAAGAAAGATCATGAGTTACCGTGAGATTGAATATTGGGACTCTGAGGCTAGGGTAATAGATCTAGATGCGTTTATGTAGGTATTTAGGAGCCAAAGAAAATACTTACCAACTGGGAAGTGACATGAAAGCAGTCTTTTTGGAAGACTAGTTTCATTGCAGGAGACTATCCATAGCTATTTTTCTGATGCAAGAAGGTATAGTAATGTCCTAGGGAAAGGAGGAAATAGGGGGCAGGTTTGAGATGTAGAAAGGGAGAACCATCAACTTTTTCTTTGAGGAAAAGGAGAAATTGAAGAAAGTGACCCTGGTTTTAAAACATAACAAATAAAACTGTATTATATTTATTTATTTATTTATTTATTTGAGATTGAGTCTCACTGTGTCGCCAGGCATGGAGTGCAAGTGGTGAGATTTCACCTCTGCTTCCCAGGTTACAAGTGATTCTCCTGCCTCAGCCTCCTCAGTAGCTGGGACTACAGGCATGTGCCACCACGTCCAGCTAATTTTTGTATTTTTAGTAGACATGCGGTTTCACCATGTTGACCAGGATGGTCTTGATCTCTTGACCTCGTGATCCACCCGCTTCAGACTCCCAAAGTGTTCGGATTACAGGCATGAGCCATCATGCCTGGCCAAGTGTTTTATATTTATACAGTGCTATGCAGTTTTCAAAATTCTGTCAGATAGCCAACACAGTCTTTTGTAATGGGGAGCTTGAGCTTCATTGTTTAAAGGACTCAACCAGAACCATTGTCTCCTTATAGGTGGGGCAGCTGAGAATCCAACCCAGATCTTTTATCACTGCACAACCAGTCAGTCACTAAGTTTTAATAATTCTGTTTGTTTCCTGAACACTTCTGAAATACGTTCACTTCTCTCTGTACCACCTCTACCTAAGATTAGGCTACTCCTATCTTCTGGATTGATGTTTCCTGAATTTATACCTAGCTTCAGCCCTGCACCCCACCTCCTAAAACAAAAAAACAAATAAAACCTTCTTTTATTAATACTTAAAATTCTGTCTTCCTCCAATTCAGTCATTAAGGTCTTCTAAAATGCAGCGGACTCTCCTGCTTAAACTTTTACGTAAAATCTATACTTCTTAGCCTGGCCTCATTAGGCTCTAATTGTCTATGTCTGTTCTTCCAGTTCCATGTTCATTTTGTTTTTTTTAGCTATGTGCAGCTGTTGTTTTTCTGCAAGCAATGCCCTTTCCCTCCTTTTCCCAATTTCACCCTTAACCCCATACTTCACATCTTAGTATGCTTGTCTACTTACTTGTCTGTGACCACTCTTCCCCACTCCTATCCTCAACCCACCACTCTACCTGCTGTGAAGATTCACTCAAGTAGGCTCAGTAAGGACAGAGAGACTGTTTCTTACTAGTAGCTTACCCACTGAAATTATTGCATGTGCGAGTGTTTTTGTACTTCAAACTGTTGTTTCAAATTTAGAAGGAGCTTTAGTAGAGAATGAAAGGATGACTGAAAAATATTAGGTCATCATTTCCCAACCTGTCCATCAGTGTTTATATTCTACAAGGTAGTGGATCAGATATGGTAGAGAATGCTGCAGATTATGTCTCTATTTTGTATATTCACAATGTATATAAGGGTCAATGATAAAGGCTTTAAACAGTCCTGTGGTTTAAAAAAAACTTTGTTTTTCTTCCAGCTTTTCCCCAAAATATTTGAGTATGGAATCTTTTTGGGTGGCATACTGTAATTTATCTTAGGTTACTAGTGGTATTTGGGATTTGAGAAATCCTCATTTTAGGCCGGGTGCAGTGGCTCATGTAATTCCAGCACTTCAGGAGGCCAAGGCAGGGGATCACCTGCGGTCAGGAGTTCCAGAACAGCCTGGCCAATATGGGGAAGCCCCGTCTCTACTAAAAACACAAAAACTAGCTGCGAGTGGTGGTGGGCAGCTGTTATTCCAGCTACTTGGGAGGCTGAGACAGGAGAATTGTTTGAACCCAGGAGGCGGAGGTTGCAGTGAGCTGGGATTGTGCCACTGCACTCCAGCCTGGGCAAAAAGAGTGAGACTCCATTTAAAAAAAAAAAAAAAAACTGAGAGAAATGCTTATTTTGACAGGCATATGTGTCCCTCCGATCTAATTTATGTAATTAAAAAACAATCAGATCATGCCTAAATAATATATAGAGAAACTCTGTTTACAGTTAGAACAGAGAATCTGAGGGAACATACAACAATCCTCAAATATTTGAAGGTTCCAACAGAAGAGGAATTGAAAGTACTGTCTTTGAAACTAGAGAATAAGAGCCAAAATCAGGAGAGAAAGTTGTCAGGGGGCAGATTTTGACTTAGAGTAAGGGTAACTTTCTAATAATTAGAACTATCCAGAAAAGAGAACTAAGTGCTATGGAAGGTAAGTAATTTTTTTGTGAAGCTTGTCAAGCAAAGATCCATAGAAATGCTACAGAGAAGTTTAACACATCAGACAAGGGATAGATTAGAATAGTTTTTCCAAAACAGTTTGGAAATCATTAGTTTCTGACATAGCTATCAACTTGGAATTCATATTTCTTGGTTCCTTTCTAATTCTATGAGTCTGTGTTTTGGTCTGAAATCTCAGTAAAGGAACCAAGTATTTGTTATTGCAGATAAACAATACAAACTTCAGTTGTATAGTTAAGTGCTTTTACTTGATGGTATTTTTTTTTAATAGACTATTGTTTTTAAAGCAATTTTAGGTTCACAGAAAAATTAAGTAGCAAGTACAGGGAGTTCCCATATATCCCTGTCCCAACACGCATACAAGGTCTCTACTATCAGCTCCCACAATAGTGGTACATTTCTTACAATTGATGAACCTACATTGACATATAATTATCACCAGAGTCCATAGTTTATATAATATTTCACTCTTACTTGGTATTGTTATGAAAGGCAATGTGAATACTCCTACTCATCTTTAAGAAAATGGTTTGTGTTCATTTCTTGCCATAGGTTAGGCTTTTTTGTTTCAGTGATCTAAAAGTTAGCTCTTATTAACACTTTTTTGAGAAAGTATCCAGGGTTGGGGAAGGTTTTTTTAATAATCTTAAATGTTTACAAATACTTTATTTTGTTGGCTAACCATTTTTTTTTCCTTTTAAGTACCAAAAGAATTGGTGGAGCTCCATTTGAAGCTGATGAGGAAGATTGGCAAATCTGTTACGGCAGACAGATGGGAAAAATACTTGATCAAGGTAACTAGTATTTATAAATTTCCTGCTCTATTACTGAAATACTACTCTAGCATAAGTTGATGTTGGGTTCTATAATATATGATTTTTTTTTTTTTTTTTTTTTTTTGAGATGGAGTTTCGCTCTTGTTACCCAGGCTGGAGTTCAATGGCGCGATCTCAGCTCACCGCAACCTCCGCCTCCTGGGTTCAGGCAATTCTCCCGCCTCTGCCTCCTCAGTCTGGGATTACAGGCATGCGCCACCATGCCCAGCTAATTTTTTGTATTTTTAGTAGAGACGGGGTTTCACCTTGTTGACCAGGATGGTCTCGATCTCTTGACCTTGTGATCCACCCGCCTCGGCCTCCCAAAGTGCTGGGATTACAGGTGTAAGCCACCGCGCCCGGCCTATAATATATAATTTTTAATTAGTTTACTAAAACTAAGACTATGACTCTAAAATCCATGTCTAACAAGGATGTGATTCTTTTCTTTTGCTACTAAGTAATAATCTTGAGTCCTAAAGTTAGATTTCAGAGGTATTATATCTTCTTTGTGCCGAATACTGCTCAAGACTTTTCATGTCTTTTCTCATTTAATTCTTAAAATCACCGTGGTCACATCAAGTAAGAAACTGATAAGGCCCAGGGAAGTTGTCATTTTTGCTTTAGTTCACACTGTATATGCATAGACTTATTTAGTGGTTCTCCTAGTCTCTATCCGATAGAACAGGGGTCCCCATTCCTGTCCTGTCTGAGCTCCTGCTTCCTGTGAGATCAGCTGTGGCATAGATTTTCATAGGAGTGCAAACCCTATTGTGAACTGCGCATGCAAGGGATCTGGGTTGTATACTCCTTGTGAGAATCTACTGTCTGATGACCTGTCACTATCTCCCATCACTCCCAGATGGGGACCATCTAGTTGATTCAAATGTAATGCATTTGAATCATCCCCAAACCATCTCCTTCCCACTCACCACCCCCAGTCTGTGAAAAAATTATCTTACATGAAACGGGTCTCTGGTGCCAAAAAGGTTGGGGACCACTGATACAGAAACATGCCATCATTTGTATTTCTCAGAATTTTTGCATACATGGTATCTTCCACCTAGAATACCTTCCCACCAATTCGTTTTCCTAGCCAATTTTTTTTTTTTTTTTTTTTTTTTTTTGAGACGGAGTTTCGCTCTTGTTACCCAGGCTGGAGTGCAATGGCGCGATCTCAGCTCACTGCAACCTCCACCTCCTGGGTTCAGGCAATTGTCCTGCCTCAGCCTCCTGAGTAGCTGGGATTACAGGCACACGCCACCATGCCCAGCTAATTTTTTGTATTTTTAGTAGAGACGGGGTTTCACCATGTTGACCAGGATGGTCTCGATCTCTCGACCTCGTGATCCACCCGCCTCGGCCTCCCAAAGTGCTGGGATTACAGGCTTGAGCCACCGCGCCCGGCCTCCTAGCCAACGTTTTGGCCTTTAGGTCTCAGCTCAAGTAGTACTGTTTCCTTGAGTCCTTCTCTCAGGAAGATGTTCCTTCATGGATTTATGTTCAAGAAATTGTCATGTGGTTTTTTATTGAATGTTCATCATGTACCAGGCACTGTTTAGTGCTTTCTTTATATTATCTCATCTACAAAATACTGATTATCCTTATTTTATTCACAAGGAAATTGATTTTGAGAAACTAAATACGGTAACTTGTCCCATCTTACATTGCTAAAAATGGCAGAGTCAGCATTCAAATCCAGGACTTGGTGAATCCAGTGCTTTAAAATATCACTGATGAAATGTCCCTCACGTTTGTCTGTCATCTATATCGTAAGTTTCTTGAAGGCTTCTTTTAATTTTTATGCATCAGTATTAAATGAATCAATTAATCACGGAAACAATTGTAGTTTTCTTCCCTTGGCTGCCAGTAAGCTTAACTTCGTTATATTTATTTCTTAGTTATAATCATTAGTTAGTTTTCTGATGGAATTTTTACCTTCCCTGTTACATTGCTCTTACGGCGCTTTCATCTTTCTCCTTTTGGCATCATTGTACCTGTGTATTACTGAAAGCTGTTTCTTTTCCTTTTGAAGTAAATGGAATATAATTAATATAAAATTGTTTATATCTAGAGCAAGTATCTGGCATCTGCTAGGGCTTGTCACTTCACTCATAGCAGACATTACCAGTCTAAGTCTTTCCTGCTGAGCCTAGACTTAGCAGACTACATTATTATCACAAATTAGTCAGCATTGGCATCTGTTTGTCATCTCTTATTAGTAATTCCCTAAGACAGCTGACTAAGACCTACAGAATGTGCAGAAATGTTGTTAGGAAATTACCAGTAGCTTAGCCCTACTGTAATAGAAACTACCTAGAAAAAACGACAGTGAGTAGAGGCCCAACAATCATGTGTTCAGGAAGGAAGTTACTGTGATAATCCAACTGAGCAATAAGGAGGCCTGAATTAAGGTTTTGGCAGTAGGGATGATAATGAGGGGATAGATGTAAGAGCTGTTTGAAAGGTAAATCAACAACTGTTGATAATTGATAGAGAGAGGTGTTTAGGAACTGAGCTTAAACAAGGGCATTCATTTGTTATTGTGCTATATCTGCATTTGCTAACATATGTTCATACAAAGTAGACAGGAATTCAAAAATCTAGGCAGATGACTTTTTACTTTTATGGTGGAATTACTCTTCTAAAAATAAAGAAACTCACCCAGGCACAGTGGCTCACATGTGTAATCCTAGCACTTGGGGAGGCTAAGACAAGTGGATTTCTGAGCTCAGGAGTTTGAGATCAGCCTGGGCAACATAGCAAAATCCCGTCTCTACAAAATAATAATAATAATACAAAAAATTAGCTGGGCATGATGATGCGTGCCCTGTAGTCCCAGCTACTCAGGAGACTTGAGGTGAAAGGATTGCTTGAGCCAGCCTAGAAGGTTGAGACTGCAGTGAGCTGAGATCATGCTACTGCACTCCAGCCTGGGCGACAGAGTGAGACCCTGTCTCAAAGAAAACCCTCACGAATGGAAATTTAAACTAACTGTTCTGCTAGGACCTGTTAACTCCTTGCTTAGTTGAATGGGCCTTGGCCTTATTCTTCACATTCCTTTTACTTGGCAAGTCGTAAAGAAATTTCTCTGCCAGTGAACCCTTAGGCTTCCGTGAAGTTCCTCTATTTTCTGTGGTTGTTAATGATTGATTAATGAGCAATTTCAGACACCTTGACCATGGATAATAAATACCACTAGGCTAAATAAACAATTTGCCTTCACAAATTTAGAACCTGTACCTCTACTTCCAACTGCCCTTTTTCTTTCCCAAAGATAGCCATGTGGAGACCTTCAAAACTAGTGGGAAACCCAACTTTTAATAAATTACCCTTTAAAAGGAATCACTTTTAGCCTCAGAATAATTTCTAAGTAAATAGGAGTTTTTCCTTCTTTTTTGAGACAGAGTCTTGCTCTGTCGCCAGGCACCAGGCTGGAGTGCAGTGGCACGATCTCGGCTCACTGCAACCTCCGTCTCCCAGGTTCAAGCAATTCTCCTGCCTCAGCCTTCCGAGTTCAAAGAAAAAAGAAATACTGTTACATCGAATGTAGTGTTTCAAAGAAATGTTAAAATAGGAACGCGAATATGAATCTTAGAATAAGGAGAAGGTATTTTGGGGGGCTCAATACTTGAAAGATGATGTCATTAAGTAGAAAATAACCTAATGTGGCTGGGCACGGTAGCTTACAACTGTAATCCCAGCACTTAGAGAGGCAAAGGTGGGCAGGTCATGAGGTCAGGAGATCAAGACTATACTGGCCAACATGGTGAAACCCCATCTCTACTAAAAATGCAAAACAATTAGCTGGCCGTGGTGGCACACACCAGTAGTCCCAGCCACTGGGGAGGCTGAGGCAGGAGAATTACTTGAACCCAGAGGCGGAGGTTTTAGTAAGCCAAGATCGTGCCACTGCACTCCAGCCTGGTAGCAGAGTGAGACTGTCTCAAAAAAATTTTAACCTAATATGTCTTTTCTGGGGTGTTTTTCCATCCCCCAACAGGAAGTGACCTCATTCATTTGTCCCTTGAAAGGGAAGAGCCGAGCGTAGTGGCTCACGCCTGTAATCCTAGCACTTTGGGAGGCTGATGCGGGTGGTTCATGAGGTCAGGAGTTCAGGATCAGCCTGGCCAAGATAGTGAAACCCCGTCTCTACTAAAAACTATAAAAATTAGCTGAGCGCGGTGGCAGGCACCTGTAATCCTAGCTACTCGGGAGGCTGAGGCAGGAGAATTGCTTGAACTGGAGCAGTAGAGGTTGCAGTGAGCTGAGATGGTGCCATTGCACTCCAGCCTGAATGACAGAATGAGACTCTATTAAAAAAAAAAAAAATGTAAAGGGAAGATAAGTAATAGGTTTAGAAATCTCTTGAAAATGAATAAATTTGGCAACAGATGACATTACTCTAAACAGCAGTTTCAGAAAGGCCCATTTCATCTGTTAGCAAATCATAAAGGTCGCCTTTTGTTATTTGTTAATTTGATTGTATTTTGACAAGAACTGGATGTTCCTTTACTGTTGTATTTCTCAAAAGTAAATTAAGGTTGATACTCTTAATTTTTATTTGCATTGTTAGTATTTTGTGTTTTTCTTTTTTAATTGAGATATTCACATAACATAAAATTCACCGTTTTAAAGTATACACTTTGTTAGTTTTTAGTGTATTCGCTGTGTTGTGCAACCATAACCACTAATTCCAGAGCTTTTTTAACATCTCAGTAAGAAGACTTGTATCTGTTATCAGTCAGTCTTAGTCACACCCCTACCTTTTCCCTTGTACCCATCTGTATGGATTTACCTTCTCTGGACATTTCTTATAAATGGAATCATAAATTAGTGGTCTTTTGTATCTTCTTTCACTTAGTATTATGATTTCAAGGTTTATGTACATTGTATCATGTATCATCTCATTCCTTTTTATTGCCAAATACTAGTCCATTATATGGATAATAGCATCTTTTATTTATCTGTTATCTGTT